TGTCTAATAATGATTTTTTTAAAACTCCATGCAGCGTGGAGCCAGAGATACAAAGAAAATTGACAAAATAATTACTCTTAAGAAAAGCATATCCTGTGAAGTTAACAATTTACAGTTAGGTGGAAACAAAGCTGGAGCTGGTTTACTGAGGCGAAGGGAATGCCAGATCATCCCTAACAGCTCCAAGCCACTGAGCCTCAAGGACTATTTCCCTACTAATCCAACATCATGAGAATGCAGGGATTTGAGCCTCACTGCTAAGCATCACTGCAGCCCCAGGGAAAGAAGAGGGGCAGGCACATTCCCAGCAGGCACATCCCTGCAGGTTTCATCCACTGACTTCACCTCCAGCATCCATCCCACAGCCACTGTCCCTCGGCAGCTGAGCCTGGACGTGATGCTCACCTGAACAGGAGAGCAGATTCACTGCCAGGAGCTGCTTTTGGATCCCAACAACTTCTAGAGGAAGGACAACAGTGAGAGGAAAAGAGACAGCAAGAAGCATAGGAATGAGAAACAAAACATGGTACGCTGTAGTAAGTGACTGACAATGTTTGTGGGAGCAGTAAACAAAGACAACACACCATATGCCATCCAGGTGGTGGTTCTGATCTTGATTTTAGTAACAGTTTAATCAAGAGGAGCTGAGATCTGATTTCCCACTTATGGCTGGTGAGATCTTTTCTAAGCCTCCTTTGCGAGTGTCTAATTTGATTTGTCTGGATTGCTAAACGGAATCATTTGCCTGATTTACTTCASCACAAGGATGTTTCCTGACATACACAAGCATGTTGTCTAATTTGGGAGCATGCAAGGCTGTGAAACAGTCCTGGGTGTGGAGTGGGATCTCCCCAGTAAAAGGAGGACACAGTCACTGCTTTAGGAAAAGCAAACARAACCATTATTCTGGGTTTCACCCCATTTCCACAATGTGGACAGTAATATTAAGCCTGATGCTGCAATTAAATACAAAATGCAAGGGCATTTCCTGCAGGCTGTTTGCTAGAAATTKAATCTCCTAAGGCTTTTGATGGACACATAAAAATGACTCTGTTGACTCTGCTTTTAATATTCCAGCCCTAGAAATGAGTCACCTGGCTGTGAACAGCTGGTGCCTSTGAAGACATCTGCATATGCTTTCACAGCAGTGTGACATGAGGGAGATCAATTTCCCTGGACCAAAGAGCAGAGCAATCCTCCTCAGCCTGGCTCAGGGGTGATGACTGCTTCAGATGRACAAATCCTGGCTGTGTTATTCATKCTGCAAGTGACATCAGGCTCATTTATATGAGCAAAACAAACAGAATCTTCTGGTAGGTGGCAGAAGGATTATTTGCTTTATGACTGAGGTCCGAGGTCTGCCAGCTTTGAAAGAAATTGGAACGTACAGAGATTTTTTTTTTTTCTTTTTAAGTAAAAGAGGAAGAATGAGAGAGGAGAATTCCTCCTGTGTGTGCCAGAGGTTTCCTAGATTTGCTAGGCTGACAAGAAATGTTTTCTCYCTCAAAACAAAATGCACATATTAATCACTAGCCTAGTGTCTGTTTTACACCTTCATGGAAAACTGCAAAACACATTAACATTGTCCTATATTTCTGGTTTAATTCTACTTGTGATTTTTTTTTAAATTGAAATGCATCCCTCAGTTTCCTACCCAGTTACTAGACCCTGCAGAAACATGGTCCAATCCACACAGGATCCTCTTTCTCTGTCTTCTCAAGGGCWATACAGATAAAGGGACTCATCCAGGGAACTAAATGAGGCCCTCAGTCTCTACACTCTTTGCTCCAGTGGATGTTGGTTTGGTTTTTTAAAATACAAAATGAAAACTAGAGAAAGAGAGGGAGAGGAGASGGAGAGTCATGAACTGGTTCTCAATTTTGAGCTTTCAAGTAAGATACAAAAAAATAACAGAGAGCTTAATTAAGATTGTTTTTTAACTTGGGCTGCCTCCACTACAGGAGAATGTCATTGCGTAAAGACCTGCAAACACACACGGGGACCCTGACATTTACTTCTCTCTGTTCTGAAATCCATCTCTTAGAGATTTCACATCCATCCTAATTCTACATGTATTTTTATAGAAACAGCTGGTTCCATATTTTTTGCTTTACCTTGGGGAAGGACCCTTATTTATTTCTAGACTAATGGACTGCATGTTTCAAAGCAATTTTTTTTCTTGAATTATTAAGAATTTTTTTTTTTGCAAAGCTATTTCTTCAGAACTGCAGWGTATTATTGCATCTTAGGAATTCAGGATGAGAAAAAACCTGATTCGCTTCTGCCTTTGTAATAAAAAAGACTGGATAAATTGGCCAACCATAGGTAACACAAGTTTTTTCCTTTAAGCTGGTTCACGTGGCTGTTTTGTCTCACATCTCTCTGTACAAWGAGGCAACTTGCTTAAAAAAATTAATATTCTCTAAAAACATAGCACATGTATTGGCTTCTCATTTTGATGTGCTGAAAGGTGTTATTACATAAGAGATTTAGGGCAGCAAGCCGCAGGTGAGAGGCTCTGCATTTATATTTTAATTAGCTCATGCAAGGAATTTCTTCAGAGGTTACAAAATTACTGTTTGTCCACCTACATTATTAAAATCTTGTGTCTTTCCATTTCAAGGACTCTTTGTGCCTCCTGAAAACTGTATGGCTGCAATTGCATGCAATTTTAAAATAATGTTCTTAAATAATCCCAAGTGATAATTTTATAAATCTGTGGAGTGCCAATTTTAATTATAGAACTTTAGGACTCAAAAAAAAAAAAATTCTGGGAAAGTACTATTTTAGTCACAAAAATAATCYTTCTAGAACATGTTCAATCTCATAAATTTTTGTCATTTGTGGGCTTCTTAAATACGTTTTCAGCCATTGTGTTCTTCCCTCAAAATAAATTCTTAAATTGTCAAGTTCTGTGAAAAAAAACACCGTTTTATTAATACCCTATTTCACATCACACCGATTATGTTAATAAGAATAAATATTTTTACATAAATACATTCCTCTGGGGGTTCTTTTGCTACAATGAGAATACATTATAATCTTGACAACTTTCTTACTTCTGGAAGAATTAATATATGAAAGGAATGTGAAATCTTTGAGGTGAGCTACTGGCATGGGTAGGTACTTAGCTAACATACACAGATATGTGTTGCACAGCACCTTAAACAAGGCAATGAACTTGTAAAACCTGGGAACGCAGTCATTTGGCAAATGGTTTATAATATTTTGGGTTTTTTTTTAATCTGGTGTTGAATTATTAATTATTATTAAACCTGATGAAGTTTCTTCACTCAGACTGAATCCGAATAAAACTTTCCCTGCAAGTTACTGTGTCCTTGCAATTCTGATATGCATAGGGAAAAAGAGTCTGGAAGATCTTACCCTGATTTTATTACCCAATGATCTCAGTGGTTCAGTAATTTTTCCCCCTTCAAGAGTTACTAAGGAGTTGCAATGCCTGAGAATTTGTGTTCTTTATTTTTATRTTGGAGAGCATGGATTCATAGAACCATTTCATTTGGAAAGGCCCTCTATGATCCAAATGTTAACCCAGCACTGCCAAGGCCACCACTCAACCCTGTCCCCAAGTGACACATCTACACATCTCTTAAATCCCTTCAGGGATCGTGACTCAGCCACTTCTCTGGGGAGCCTGTTCCAGGGCTTGACCCCTTCTCTGTGAACAGATTTTTTCCTTATAGCCAATCTAAACCTCCCCTGGCACAACCTGAGGCTCTTTCTCCTGTTGCATTTTGTCTGGGAGAAAAGACCAACCCCTACATGACTACAACACCTTTTCATGGAGCTGTAGAGAGTKAGAAGGTGCCCCCTGAGCCTCCTTTTCTCCAGGCTGAGCCCCTCAGCTCCCTCAGCTGCTCCTTATCACAGTCATCCTCCAGACCCTTCCCCAGCTCCATTGCCCTTCCCTGGACCTGCTCTAGAACCTCAATGTCTTTCTTGGAGTGAGGGGCCCAGAAMTGAGCCCAGGATTCACAGTGGCCTCCCCAGYRCCCAGTGCAGSGKGATGATCTCCTCTCTWRTCCTTYKTAYAGAGCYACAAATCCTGAAATCRATGCTKTAACACATGAATAGTTTTCTAAATTAGAAATGATGGATTCCTGGTGAGCAGCCTACCCCAGAGTAGTCACAACATGGACTTTATTACCCCAGAGTCACTGATCATGATCATAGCTGCACAAGAGCCATAAGTCAGAAAACAGTCTAATGTTGATGGCTCTGCCACTGAAAATGAGGGGTTTCATGACAAATTTATTTTAGAAAGGGGCACAATACCCTTTATGTCATGCAAATGACTTAGAGAAATAATGCAGATGGCATTGGACATTTACAAACTCATTATGATAATGGAAACCTCATATAATWTGTAAGAGAGTTCTGTAAGTTCCACTGTGATGGTTGGCATGATGATAAACTTCRTAACTATTTATTGATTGTTTCTCTTTTTCGTTTTTCACTAAATTAATCACGCATAGTTTCAACACCAAACCATTAAGATGCAATGCAGTTTAAAATATTTTACAGAGAACCAAAATTTCTTGATTTATACCTTTTATCATTGTAGCAGAACTAGATGTACCGGATTCTTAAAACAGCCTCTAGAACTCTGCCTCTAAAATAGATTGTTCAATTAAAATTACTTACCTTTCTTACAAAAAATGACTCTYCATTTTTGGAATAATCTAATTTTTATTCCTGCTGCAAAGTAGAGATTCTAAGCAATCACAGTGTGCAACACAGAAACTCAAGCTTCTGCTGGAATATGCMATATTCAGTTCCAAGTATTTATTAACTGGAGAATGACAGTGATCTCAATCTATGCACAGCTAACACATCTGTCAGTCTCTTCCACTCTCTTTTACTCCCCCACCCTTCAAACAGCAAAATTTTGATCAAACATGTAAATTTGATCAAACATGTAAACCACACAATAGCCTGAATGCTCTCAGCCCAAGGAAAAAGGCACAGTGGTGAGTTACCTTAAATTCAGTTTCAATGTTGGCTAGTCTGGCCAGTTCATTGCTTAGCTCTAGAGCAGTAAGGACAGGGTCTTCACTGGACAGAGACAAATAAGCAGCACTGGCTAATCCTTTGTAGGCATTCATTCTCGAGCGAGAGTGACTAAAGGAGTCTTTCCTCTGCTTTTCAATACATTCATTGCACTTGCAAAAATAGTCATGAGGCCTTTCAATCCGTGCGCCTTTTAGTAGCAAGATGTGAACAATTTCATACTCCTGGCAGTGGGCAGCAAGTATGATGGGGGTAATGTCATGGGAGAACCGAGTTCCATCCTCATCATAAGCATAAAAATCGTCATCCCTCAGCTCCTGCTCGAGGGGGCTGAGCGTGAGGCGCTGTCCTTGCGCGAAGGCGGGGTGGTTCAATATCGCTTCCACGATGCGCACRTATCCTTTACTGATGGCCAACAAAAGGGCATCCCCGACCCGAGCCAGGTTCTCCTTCTTGAGGAGCAGCTCCGTCACTTCCAGGTGCTCGTTCCCCACCGCCAGCTGGAGGGCGTTCTGTCCCATGTAATCGACGCAGTTGAAGTTCAAGGTTTTGGACTCCTCCAGCATTTTTCGCACAACRGGGATGTTGCCATATTCCGCAGAATCGAGGAAATGTTCCTCCTCTGCGGTGAGGCTGGTGCCTTTCTCGTTGAACATGTAGGCAGGGCCCCGGATGGCCTGCCGCCGGCCCTTCTCCCGAAGGGTGGCGTGCCTCCGATGCATGTCTTTAGAATTGCTGTGTCTCAACCTGCAGGAAAACACAAAGGAGCATTGGTTATATCCTAACAGAGTTGTAATTTCACAGAACCTGAAATAAGGTTAGAAGTCTGTCATTATGAGCAGATCTTGTTAGCTTTTTAYGACCTGAGCCAGTTACTTAAAATCATTTAGGACACGTGTGGAATAAAGATTAGCTTCTGAACAAAAGATGAGCTCTCCTGTGATTTGTTCACCCTTCCAGATTTCAACAAGGATGCCCAGCACATTCTTAACTTGATAAATAGAAAAAGAAATGCATGAATACATAATTTTCCATTTGTATTGTTTAGAACTTCATTWCATCAATTTTAGGATTAATATACAMAAGACAGTATTTATTTGAAACAATTCTTGAAYTTTGTCCTTGAGATCATGAGCCCTAAAGAGACTTAGCAGGACTCTCCTTTGTCAATAGACTTTGGACCAGTCCAATAAGATAAGTTCCATAAAGTTAAAACCCATGTTTCTTATTTTAAACACATGGTAACAAGGATAATTATATTGCACATTCTGCTAAGATTCAGCAGATACAAGCAAACCACCTATTAATTCCCTTCTTTTTTCAGGCACACAATACCACTTTTGTGTTTCTGTATCTAGAGCAGTTTAATAATGACCTTGCTGAAACACTTCTTGTTGAAATACAGTTGGTGGCTACTCCAAACACAAGCACCCAAATCCATGGAAGAGTCTAGAAAAACAAAGGAATAACTCCTGATTTAGTGTCATGTCAATCCTCAGTAAGATTCTTTCAGAGACCTATTGCAGAAAGAAAAAACACAGGTCTSTCACCACAAACAGAGGGCAGGAGGAAAAGGGTCATTAATTTCCCCACTGATTAYGTGGCTGAAATGCCTTTCACTTGGAGTTGGTGAGATGAAGACAAACTATTCTTATTTCACCTTCGCTGGAACTACTGAAGAAAGTCACGTTTTGTGCAACTGGGTTCATGGGTGAAAAAACACACTGTTTTATGAAATTAACTGAATTCCCAAATCTAATTTTGCCTTTAAAACATTCACGCTTTGCATTCAGTGCTGTCTCAGTGTTGTTCTTTTTAAAAATTTTATTACAGCTGCATCTCAACAAATTCACCGTGCCTTTTAGAGACTAAACATGTGGAGTTAATTGTCTTCCCAAGCCCAAAGAATGTGCAGGTCGAGTAAAAAGGTAAAAACAGCACTTCTTTCACAGAAAGCATTTGCACTCAGTCCAATAGGCAGTCCTGTATCACTTGGGTAARATCTTCAGGAGCCTCTAAGCTGCAGTGGACAGATGTAACAAATAAGCAGGTGTTAATGCTCAGTGGGTGGCAAAGGTTCATCCTTCCACACCATCTGTTCTCCAAGTCAGTTACGACCTTCAGTCAATGAAAAGTTCATGTGTTTGTGAAAAAATACTACAGGAGTTGGAAAGTGCTGCAGTGAGTGATGGGAAGGAACTGTGCCAGGGGACAAAGTAGAGCAGGCACAGTGCCTTCAAGATCAGSTAACAAAGGAGAAAAGTAAACAGCAAGAACCTGATAAAACACAGGGTTATCAGAAACTCAAAATACCTAAAGTTCCGGGACACAGAAATTCTCAAGGTAGCTGTTCTTACAGAACTAATGGATAAATATGTATCTATCATTTTATTTCATCACTTTTGGACTGATCTGGAACAAACAGCTAGCACTGAAAGTTTCAAACAATTTTTTTAGCAAACTTTCAGAAGTTACATGAAAATTTAAACAAATCCTAAGAAATCAATTTTGTGACCACACAAGGTTGAAAGAGAAGTTCATAACTRAGAGCAACTCCCTCGAGTTTTGATGCATCAGAGTAAAAACTTAATAAAATCTAGTAGGAATTGAACATTCCGTCCCAGGCTCCACTGAGAGATAAAGTGCTGTATGGATCTTAAAACTGCTTCCTTCCAGCATGGTTTGAGGTTGAAGAAGCAGAGATGAGGGACACAAGAATAATGAAGGGGGTACGGTYAAGTGAATTAACTCTGTAGACCAAAGTTTACTGTAAGAGAAAACAATAACAGCTAAATAACTAAAGTGTGCAATTAACATATCTGACAGGGATGCAGAGTTCTCTAGAGCAGAAAAGTGCCTGGGGTAAAATTGGGGGCCCTTTGAAGTCARCATTCTAAGTTTCATTGATTTCAGGGGAGTCCAAATTTTGGAAACATATATGCRTACACACATATATTTTCATCAGCAATTAGCTTTCATCTCAGAAGCAGTTTCAGTGAGACCAAGAGGACTAACAAGTGGTTAAAATGAAGTGTTTAACCATATGCACAAGTACTTCTCTAAACTGGAGCTCCCTAGCTATTCAGGACAGCATCTAAGCTTAAAACATGTAGTGAAACCTTGCTGAGTTCAAGCAAGGATTACACATACAAATAAACACTTCTGAACTGTGACTTCATTAAATGGGGAATTAGAGAACCAGAAAGCACTTTATACATTTACAGCCTTGGGAGTTYCTGAACGTTAAATTAAATGTCTTAAAATGTTAAGCAACTTGCAAGGATGAGCTGGTGATGACTTAAGGAATTGTTCTTGGGATTGAGTGGAAACCAATCCAGCCCTGGTAGGTGTTCGGTGATCACCCGTGAGTGCAGAAGGATCACACATGCCTGAATATTTTAGGACAGTTAATTGCATTAGCTGCTTCAAGCTGGAGGAATTCCASTGGGCTTTTTCCATGTTCAAAACCCATGTATGGTAAAATATTTGACAACCTCATATTTGTTGTTATATTTAAGTGTCAGTACTGGAAGAAACTGAGAAATATCTATGATTTCTAACAGTGAGGGATCTATTATACTTTGCCTGACGTAAAAGTACAGTTTCTGTTAGTTTATTCTTTTTCTCCTTAGAAAAAGTTTTCAGGTAATAACATACCTCTAAAGGACAACCCAGATAGGTGGGACAGATAACCTTATAATCACACCCAAAGTAAACATAAACCCACATACAATATTACTGTTGGACTAGTTCAAAGATGTTTGCCTGAAAAAGAGGTTAGAGTTTGGCCTAGGGCTAATTCACACCTGTTTGTTGGATATGTAATAACGTGCCAAGAAAAAAAAGGACCTTCATTTCACTTTCTTCAATTCAGAGAGAACACTGGTTTCATGCACTGTTTCTAACAACAGAAATTGCATCAKGTAAAGAGGAAACAGGAAAGCACACCTGCTCTACAAAGAGATAASGACTGTGCAATATTTATCTTGCAATAAATGTTCTGCAGGGATGTCCCTACAGCACAGAGTTGATCTCCACTCCCTGCAGGTAAGGACATGAGCACCATCATTCAGAGGGATTCACCTCAGATGAATTATGACCCCCCCATCTTGCTCATCAGCAGAGATCAATATCTCAGCTATCACACTTCATCATCTTTATACAGAAGTAGAGATGAATAAAAATCTACACTTTTAACTTTGAATAATTTAATTAGAAATGCTCAGCTATCAAATCCTGTTCTGAAGAAAATTATATTTATGCTTGACCTGAGCACTGAATCATGATAAGAGAAGCAGTAGTTCAAAAAGCAATGTATGCAGTAGCTGAAGCTCTTGGAGACTGAGCCCTACTGCAATGTCAYGACTGTACTCGGCACCTTGTTCTGTTCTGCTTTTCAGTTATGTGCAGGCAGATTTAGAGCCAATCATTTACTGAGTGTGTATAATGTGCTCTCTTAAAAGAAGTAATTGTAACTTGATTGCATTTATCTTACCATTTTTCTTCAAAGGTGCTTTGGATTGAAATAACTCTGTATTTGCATATTTTATTGAGACAGCTAGTGATCAAACTCATCAGGCACTGCAGTTAAATACTGTGTTTTTCTAGGAAAGGATGCCAATGCGTGCAGTGCTGTTGGAGAGAAAATGGTCTGGGAAAGGAAAATAGAAAATTTCAGGGCCTGAGTACTGCTTGCAGCAAAGCACATCCAGCTTTCCACRGCTGAGGGAGCCACAAGATGTCTGGACTTCTGTGGGGAGTGGAGAAGAATAGCTCTTTCTGAAAGGTGATTTAGCTCTTAACTAATCTTCCAGTGGGAGCATTTCAGTTTCTAATTAAAGTGACTAAGAGCAGGTCCTTAGAGCAATTGGCTCTGACGGTACTCRGTGCTGAGACACTCAGTGTCTGAGAGTGGAACATGGCATGACATGAGATTTGCTCTTAATGTGATGGCATTGGGAGCACACTGAAGCTGAAACTCTCCTTTTTTCACAGCCACACTCTCTTAACTGGTCTGAGAGCTGACATGTAGGACAGGGTAGACATAGGAAAGAAGTTGAGCTGCTTTGTATTGAGCTTATGGCCTCTCCTCAACCCTCCATCCCACAGTGCTCCAGACTGTGCCATTCAAGACCTTCTTCTGCGTYTCCAGACCTACACAAAAACCTATGGAAGGGCAGGGTTACCACCTGGAGCTGGGGCTTGGAGAAAATGTACAAAGGCCCAAGTACCTTAAAAGGCTGGAGTTTTTACACAWGGCTTTGAACCGGAGCTTTAAAAATGTGTAGGAGAGGCTGAATAGTACCTGCTTGAGTTTTCAAAACATCTGAAGTCTAAAAAGGTAKTGAAATCAATAGGTATTAGGAACTGCAGCAATTCTGGAATTCTCAGGTGATGTCAACCTTTACTTGAGTCTAAGCYTAAAAATTGAGCAGGACATTGACAAAGGCAGCTTTAGGAACTTATGGTCCCTGACTACACTTTGGGTTTGCTTTCACTAAGTGGAGAGAGGCTGGCAGGAGTCTCCCTGTGCCCTTTCAATGGCCCCCTTTGTCCAGAAACTAAAGAGACTTCGGATATGTAACCATTACTATGCTCTACAAGCACCCATCAGAGCAGGCTTTGATGAGACGTTGACTCTGCCTTGTCRAAAAGAAAATTTCAGTTTCTGAAAGCCATTTTGAAAGCACTGCCCTCGGTTCCTGCAGAGCCTCAGAAAATGTCAAATTGA